TCAATGGCTCTGTAGACAACGAAGACTTTTTAGTGGAAGGAGTAGATGTCGATAGATCTGACGTCACTAAAAGCGTCAAGGTTGATGTTGTGGAAAAGGTTGGAGATACAGTGTGCCCCTGGCAGCTTCCATTGCTAATCGAGACATCATCGATCGCTATGTCACCCATATACGAGGATCCTCGTATTCCTTCAAATGTCACCTAGATGAATTACAGATGAATGAAAAGTTGTTATTCCATTTGTAATCTTAAGCAAAACAGAAATTATGTCCTTAAGAACGAAGAATTGTCTAGCTAAGTTATGTATTTAGAACAAGCGAAGAAATGTATTTTACCATTGACCGTCTGTCCTTGTCTCTGTCTTTCTCTTTTTATGTTTGCGTTTGAGTTTCGTTTGTTATTGTCTCATTAGTATAGATTTTTTTATATAGCTGTACGTCTGTATACAAATAGCCCGAGAAATTAAACGTGCTACAAGTTGCTCAAGGCTGAGCTATCAAAGACGCGTATTGTTTTCCATTAATAATATGAAAGGGAAAGGCTGAAGTATTGCGTAATTTGCCAGGTAAATCATATATCTACCGATTAAAACTTACAATGCTATCTAATTGAATGGTTCTTTCCGCCTTTATCCAGTGGTTGCCATGGTTTCCTGATGCGTTGAAAACTACCGCACTTCCACTGAAGACATTCAGAGTGCCCATAGTGTTTCCATACATGTGGTAATAGAACTCGAGACAAGACAGTTCTCCATTTCCAGGTACAGAGAACTCAAGTTTTGCGCTATCACCCTCGACCCGAGGACTAGACGTCTCGATATACATGTAGTATCCTGTGAACATAAAAAAAAACAAAAAGACATTGATTTCCCTGCGTAAAGCATAACAAATATTTGATCAAAATATTTCCTAATAACGAAGAAATAAAGCGCAAATATAAATTATAAATTTGTATTGCTGGAAATTAAGACAAACGAGCAAGAACAATTAAATGAAGTGGACGAGAGTTCTCTTACCAAACCCACTGGTATGATCGTAATCTGGACCTGTATCTACAGACCAAGTTGCTCCCTTGTTTAGTGTCCAGTCAAAGACATCTGAGTAAGACTGTTCCCAGCCATCACAAAGTCCGCTGTCGAAGTCGCAAGATGTTCTAACTAAAGTGGAAACAGATTTATTCACAACCGTAATCAGATAGTCGGTCACTGAACACTGCTGTCATTGTTAAGTTAAAACCAAAACCAAAGTCAACAATATGGCCAATCAAAGAGGAAGCTGACGGACCATGACAAATCATACCTCCAATCAAATACATATAGAAAAAAAGAAAGGGGTGGGGAAGCAGAAGCACCCGAAACCTTGTTAAAGCGACAGTGGATGTAATATTTCTTGCAAGATGGATGACAATGTGGCGCGAGCTTTTCGTGATTAAAGCAATTGCTCAGCGTACTTATAAATGGAAAATCAAAGAAATGTGAATAACCATCAAAATTCAAGTCAAAGCTTAGATCTATGTAGTCCTAGACGTCTTCTTTGTTTTCATATGGATAAGTGCGATTATCATTCAGGGTGGGCAATGCAGTCACTTGACATCACAGGATCATTGTTCTAAAAGTGGAACAGTGATCAAATTTTTACCCTTGAATTTTTAGGCTTATTACATAGAATTCAATGAAAGATTAAAAGCGCCGTTTTGCAAATATCTGCTTTGGTTCAGGAAAAATTTAAGTTTTAAGAGCGACTCTCTATAGGGACAGATTGAGATTGAAAAAATGTGGCACAAGGTTGGAAAAATGGACTCCTTGATATTTCGTCCAGAGATAAACTATGGTATGCTAAGAATCGCGATATAAGTCTTAGGTTTTAGAGTTTTACATTTTTGAGAAAATTACGAAAAACCGTCGACGGCCCGTGAAGGCGAAAAATAACAGAAATGAGGTCAAATATCATGATCAGTTAATGGAACTCGCGTGAAGGCGCATAGCAAATTATGGTTTTCCTTAGTTTATAGTTTTATTTAGGAGGTATTGCTAAGCTGCCTTGATGTTATTTTAGAGTTACAATTGTAATTCCAAATTCCTGGAGACCAAGCGAAGAGAACCGAAATTTCTGGACTTTGAAAATCAAAAATTCCATACCATTTTCAAACATCTCAAAACATACTCGGTATTARGTAGAATTCTTTCAAAATTTATTTCTAGCAAGTACAAGAGCTGTTTTTGAACATGATATACTTTTTTTCTTGGCAAAAGTTATTTCTGAGGCGAGCGGCCCCATGCAAGTTGGCCCAATTTGACCCTTCGAAGAGATTTTGTTTAACCAGGAAATGTAAACAATTTGACTAGCCTTAGCTCGTTTTCTGAGCAAACCATTGAAAAACCCTGCCATTTGCCATTAAAACTATCCAGTAAACCTGAGATAATACTTCGATGACAGCTTACCTTCCAAGTGGGTGTTTTAAGGCAAATAATTCTGATGTTCTCAGTTAATTTTTCCACTGCTTTCTTGCTGCCGCGCTTTATAATCTATGGTCATATCTTGACATCGACCTTGTACGCCGGTTCCAGGCTAAGCTTGTGCAACACTTTTCCGAAAAATCAATCCATATGTTGCAATATCTACCTCTCAGTAAGCAACCTCTTGATATTCATTTAGTTTCTTGTATAATAATAATAATAATAATAATAATAATAATAATAATAATAATAATAATAATAATAATAATAAACTTAGCGCAAGACGTAAATCTCGGTATAGTGAGTATAACGCAATCTTTCCTTCGTCACTTCCGGATCAGGTGATTAGTTTTTCTTCTGACGGGGGAGGGGGAAAGAAGTTTCTGGAAGATTTTGAAAACAAAATTGCACGGTGCAATCCGGAAAACAAATTTTCTGCAGAGCGCAAACTTATACAAATCCCTTGCGGCATCTTAGTGAGATGGATTCTCAGAAGAAAGTCTATATGACAGAGTTTTTGTGGCGTGATATATCTTTGATGTGGAGTATATATGAATTCATATTTGAACTGCGGTTGTAGATGAAAGTGAAGAATGATCATCGCAGTAAATTTTCCA